ATGGATGGGAGGCGATGGACCGACCCATCAAGAAGGCGAACCGACCTGCGATGCTCCATCGTCTCTCGACAGGACGCAGCATGCCCGAGAACCGGCGTTACGTACCTAGCAACTAGCGAGACTGGATCCAGGTCAGGCAAGCTGATGTACCCGACGCGGTGACCAATCCTGGCCGAAGAGCCCCCGTTGAGAGCAGCCTACGAAGCACAGTACCTTGGCTTCGATTGCCATGGCCTCATCGCGTTGTAGCTGTAGCTGGCTGGTACTGTCCCTGCTGCTGGCTGCCCGCTGCTGGCCGCGGTCGTGGGGAGGCGGAGGCTGTTGCTGTGGCGGTCCCAGGTTGCCGTTAGAGACTCTCAAGACTCTCCCTGCTAATCATGGATCATTGTCCCCCGGCTGCGGGGGACCATACCGCATTCGCCCTGCAAGCCCGAGCGGCCGAGACGAGGATCGACAGCGCAGCTGGATGCTCGCTCCAGAAAGGCGAGAAGGGCGTGCCGTCGATCGGGCTTGAGCAGGTTTGTGTGTTGTCGTCGACGATAAACGCTGCCACTTGCGCCGGAAACGGGCGACTGGGGCGCGGACCCGCGTTGCTGCTGTGATGTCGTCTCCTCTTGTCTGCCGCCGCGGCCATTGTCAGTTGCCCGTGGCCAATCCATCGCGAGTCAAGCCTTGAGACGACGCCTGTCCGCCACAAGTCTGACGTACATGCAGTATGCGTAGACGGGATCGTGAGCAGTCTGACAAAGCCCTGCCATGTGCTACGAGATTGCACCAGGAGCGCTCAGCAGCACAAGCTTTTCAGGCTTGCCATGGGCCCCTGCAGCTGCAGCACAAGTGCAGTATGGCGGTGGCACTTGGGCGACGTTCCGACCAGCGCCGAAAATAGCGTGGGCAGCATCTCATCTCACACACGGGAACGGTCTTGGTCTGTCTCTGCCACAACAGATCCGTATGCAAGGCCGCCGTTGAGCACTGGGGGACATCTCATCTGACGTGTGCTGCTGCTGCTGCTGAGACAGCTGCGCTTCTGCCGGCGACTTATTACTCGCGCGTGCGTCCAAGCCGTGCGTGCATGACCGTGTCAACCCTGTCTGCCAGGTCGGGGAAGCGCGGAGGTGGAGGCGCCATCGCGGGCGCGCTGGCGACGGATGGATGGGAGACGGGAGGGATGATGGCCTCTCCTGTGGCTCCAGCGTCCGCCGTGGATAACAAACAACAACCCACTGTAGAAGGTCGAGCGAGCTTCATCGTTCGGCGGCGATCGAGCCAAGCATTCGTGGGGCCCACTGGCGACCGAATTCACGCCGCCTGTTCATCTTTCGTACGATGCAAAGTTGGCGGGCAGATATGGCGAGCATGATGGCACTCCGATACACTGCTCATCCGCGCTACCTTCGGCCCTTGGTGACCGCAGGATCTTGCGGGAGCATCCACCAAAGCCCAGCGCAGAGTCAAGAGCCCCGGCCCCAGGCAACCAGGGCCACGAACCGCCAAGCCTGTCATGAAGTTGCCATAAGGTAGCGTCAGCTCGCCCGGGGGGGCTGGCCTGGAAACGAGCACAAGCGCGCATCTGACCGGCGCCGCAATGCCGCATGCACGGATAGCTGGCAATTGCTGAGCCGGGTTTTCCTGCACCTGGTCGTCGTCGGCAGACGCAGATTAGCCGAACGCGGCAGCCAGAAGCCAGCCTAGAGATGCAGGCGACGATCCCCATCGCGGTACCGCTGGACAGGTCCTCAGGCGGCGGCAACTCCGTTTGCCGCGCCGCATCACCCTCGACACGCACCCAGCCCTTGCTAGCCACATGTCGCCCGCTGGAGGTGGCTGCCAACAGGCAGGCGACAGCCTGGGAGCGAACCACTACGTACCTAGCACCAGCAGCCGCTAGGTTGTTTACCTCCGTCGGCTCACGCGGCAACCAGCCTCGCCACGCCCACGCCCACGCCCGAGACTGCCAGGCAATTGAGAGCGGCTGCCGACGCGGCCACGTCCCGGAGCTCCAGCGCCTGCTTTGGCCTGCTTGCTTGCCCAGGCTTGGCCGGCGGCTCTGGGCCTTCTGGGCAGATGCCCCACCGGGCCTCGGACTGGCGGCGTCATCTTCCCCAGGCTATTGACACTTTTGGATAATTGTCCGCGATTTGCCTCTCCATCCTGCGCCCTTGGTGGGCGCTGGAGCCACCAGACGGACGGGCACGCTCTGTGGGAGGGACCGTGATGCCCGCACGCCCCGCCACACGCCCCAGCCCGGATCTGGCGCTGCATGCCCGTACGAGCACGTTCAAAGTTTGCAGTCCTGATGGTACAGTATTATGTACTGTACTCTCACATGGAAGGGGCTGCTGAAAATTCTCCGGATACTGCGAACCTACCTGTTCCTTCCCTCATCCGGCCCATCTCCAGTTTTGTCTACTTGGTAGTCGGTCCAATCCCCCCCCTACTGGCAGGATTGCAGGCATGGCAGAGTCACAGGCCAACGGCCCCAGCCAGCCCAGTGCCCTGCGACCCCCAATCAGGCACGCCAGGCGACCGCTCGTCGCTCCGTGCCTGGAGATTGCAACGCAAGTCGAGCGTCCTGGCTGGCGGACGAGGCGGGATGCAGGTGATGATGAGCGACAGAGGCGGCGCCCGTGGCGGCAATGAGATTGATCGGACGCACAGGGGGTTCGCGACTTCCAATGGTCTGATTACCGCCTGCGCCGGCCACAGCGCGCAAAGACCCAATGTCGCTCGGTCTTGTCGTGGTGGTTGCGGCAGTCGTCTTCGCCGGGAGACCACCACTTCCTGCCAGCTAATTGATGCCTGTTCGGTCATCCGGGGCCGAGGGGGGAAAAAACCTGGAGTCACGATGGGGGCAGACGGGCGAAAGCACCCTTTCCCAGCTCCTCCATGCTCCGCTGGGTCCTCCCCGCAATCCCCCGTCGCAGACCTCGGCCGCTGTGATTCCCCTTTCCCATCGGCCCATTGAAATGACCCGACCCCCCTTTTTCGCCGAACTCGAGCATCTGACTAGGTACCAAGCGCCGTGCGTACATCCATGGCAATCCATGCACGCCTACGAGCATCTCCGGGCATGGTCATGCGATACCACAGAGAGGTTGCACGAGAGAGATGTTGTGTCGCGGCTCGTCAAATATTGGATGCGTCCACCGGCGTCGGTTGGTGCCAGCTCGCCAGCCCCTGTCAGCCACCCCCTTGCAAGAGTGCGACGCTGGCTGATCTCGGCTGCCAGCCTGCCGCCCTCTCCCGCCTGCCTCTGTGAGCTTGGCGCAAATGCTTGATCGCCGCAACCCTGCGCCAGATCACAGAAGCGTGGCAGAAGCTCCAGGATGCCAGGCTGCTGCAGCCCCTCCTTGTCAACAGGAGTTTCCCGGCGCTTTCGCTAGCTAGGCACATGTGCGCCACTCGTGTCCGTCTTTGTTGCTGTGCATCGCCACCCCAGGGGCCGCGTCGGGTTAGCATCAGTGGCGCCCGCCTGACTGGTCATAGTTGCAGTCACGACAGGCCATTGGCAAAGGCGATGACGTTGCGAGTACGGGCTGCGCGGCGTGATGCCACCCAAATCCGGCCATCTGCTCGTACGTATGTTAATAGTTAGTACGTAGCAAGGCAGAGTGGATATTTTTCCCCATGCGACAAAACGGAGCTGGCCAGGCTCCAGCTCGCCGGCCACGAGTCTGGGAAGCTGGGCTTGAACTGATCTGCAGCTGTTTCGAGTTGGTGGATGTAGGCATGTAGGGTACGTTACCTAGATGAGGTCACGGCAGGGCTCACGGCCGAATGTCTTTACTACCCGTCTCGGGGCTGCCGTATTCCAAGACAACCCTCGACACCCTTCGCCGCGGTCTATTTTTGTCAACGGACAACCACGCTCTGCAGATTGTGAATCGGCCTTTTGTCCACATTGCGAGGAGCAGAGAGAATTGCTCAATTCTGCCGTGGAGGGCTTTATGGCAGCAAGCCAGCCTGGTACCAGGTCAATGGCACAGCAAACGGCCGCCAGTGCAGAGCCGCAGGCGCTGTTCGACGGCGCGTGACAGTGTTCCGTCCCAACGTCGCACGTACGATGTGTTTGTAGAGCCCGAACGAACTTCGTTGATGCTCGGGACCGATTTCCTGTTGACCATGCACACATCTTACGCCGGGTTCGATCACCGCCGGCCCCATGTCACGGGGAAACGATTATTTGTTGATAGCCAGCATGCCTTGACACTATATGGCCTGCCGGGAGCGAACTCAGTGATGCGGAGCCATGATTTTGAGGCAACGCAGCCGAGCCCGTGTGCAGGCTTGTCATCCCAACTCGCGAGTGCTGTTATCCATGGCTCGAGCTGGAACCACTCGCGACCTGTGAATCAGAGCGCCAGAATGGCATATAAGGACCTGCCGCACCCGTTGGATATGAATGACAGCACACCCGTTTCCGTGCAAGAAGCAGCCATGAAGTTCCTCAAGTGCCTCGCGGCCGTCGCCAGCCTGTCTCTCGTGGTAAGAACGACCCTGGGACTACTTCTGCCACAGAGAGCATCGCATCGGGCTAGCATTTCCATGTCCCGTCAGACCCTCGCCCTTGTCGCCCCTCGTGCCGGATATCAGGTTGCGAATCTGTCTGCAGAGTACCAGATCACTCCTGGCGGCCTGTCCGTGGTTCTCGACGGCACTGTCCAGGAAGCTCGCGCTCAGCTCCTCAGGCTCAACCCCAACTGGGATTCGGATTTTCGCCGCGCGCGGGAGCTGGGCTCATCGGCCCTCACGAAGAGGAACATGTGGGACGGCGCCGACGTCTCCTGCGAAAACAGATGGGGTGCAGTCCGACCCGATGCCATCAAGGACGGCATCAAGTATCTGCGCGGGGTGGAGGGCAAACAATTCCATGGGTCCCGGCCCAGGTGTGTGCGCGAGAGTGAGCTGCGATGTCGCCGCCGGAATTTGGTGGTGCAACGATGCAAGTTTCTCTCTCGAGTTACTTACAACTGCAGGATAGATCGCTGACAGCAACGACAACGATACAGAATCGGGATCCCAAGATACTGGACAGCTTCGCGGACATCGCGGACGGAGCTGCGCGCGCCCAGGAAGTCTGCGCCGACAAGGACGAGAGGGATGAAGATCTGGTCAACTGGTGGGCGGGCCAGGCGTTTCATCGAACCAACTGGAACGTCATTGTCGCGAGATGCTAGGGTTGCGAATCGAGGGCATCGCGAGCGCCGGCTGACGGACTCGGCGACATTTCGATTCCGAATGGGGCCTGGTAATCGTGGCTGGCACGCGACTGTTCCGTGACGCAGTCAGACAGAAACATTGTCCCTACATTTCACCCGGTACCCGTGAATATGCATGAAGTCCAGCAACAGTCCTCCTTCAGCAATACAGCTATGCAGTGCAAATATGCAGTGCAAACAGGGGATATGTACACATAGGGTGGCCACAGCAAGTGCCGAAGCTACAGACGCTGCTGATGCGTTCCCGTCCATCCGCCACTACTATAACGCTAGCAGCATGGGTCGATGCAGCACAGGTTCGGACGCCTGGCAACCTAGCACTGCACAGGTTGTGAGCGAGCCGCGAGTGCCGTGCCGCCCAGGCCCCCTGCTACTTTGCCTATGTACCTGACTAGTAACTTGGCACCTGGAAATAGCAATACCGCCCGGTAGGCGAGCAAATAGCCCTTCGGAAAGCTCCGCTGCTCAAGGGGAGCTGCGCATCCTCCGCTCATAACCTCGGGGTGGCACGATGGACTGAAGGCCGCTGAGGTCTGCAACAAAGTGCGCTGTATGTAGGTAATGCTTCTGACCGTGCGGCCGCCAACGTAACCGGCTGCGCACTTCCTACCCGACATGCCGCTGACAAGCCCCTTTCTCGCCGCCACTAGTGGCAATGCCTCCAGTCGCGAAAACGACCGTCTGACACACAAGTGCACCTCTGGAAACGCGGAGCAACTGGGAGACAGCAATGCCTCCCGTAGGTTCGATGCCTCATATCCTTGGAGCGGCGATTGGCATTGGCAGGCCACCAAAATCGAGACCAGCTGAGACTTCAGACGGAGTTCATCTCCTGTCTCCGGGCCTCACATGATAGATGGACCTGTGAATGATCTCACTTGCTACCACCTCTGTCACAACAGAGTCGGTGACATAGAGTTTAAGCAGAGCGGCACCTCCCTGTACAGGTAGCTTATTGCGAAAAGTAGCAGAGAAGGATGACAGCAGCTCGGCTACCAACATGCCGACGCCACGACTACCACCTCTGATAATCTGGGAAGTACCGTTCATGAATTCGTTCCGCGTACTGTATAACCGTGGGGTATGCCTTCACAATATCTGCCGTCACGGGGGCGCTGGAAACCAGGTCAGAAGGAACAACAGGAAGTGTAGCGACCACTGCTCGACCGAATGCCGGCTGGAAACGACTTACGCGTCACAAACGAGCGCTCCAACGATGAAGCCATACATGGTCGCATCCACTTCGGTAGGTTCTGATCCGCCCAGAATCCAAAAAAGGCCATCTCCGCCAACTGATTGCCTCGCCTTGCTGAGGAGGGCGTTGACGGCCTCCCATGCTTCCTCTTGGAACGTGAGCACCTCCTCGCCAGTCAGGCGTCCGGCGCCCGGGCCGTGTAGCCCGACCGTAACCCGTCGACGTGCCAGCCATCCGACAAGCAGCTGCAGTGGCCACGGCACCTCGCCGAGGACATTCGATCGCATCGTCGTGTAGTTATCGCACCATTTTCTCCCTGACACCGTAAAAGTACACCCTATCCTCCATCATGGACCTCACGGCGAGGTCGTGCGCCCACTGCACGGGAGCCAAGGTTGCGTTGACGTCGCGAAGGTCGCCGTTGCTGATGAGGGCGCGGATGATGAGGGCGGTATCGCCAAGAATTTCTTTCGAGTCGCCGTGATGGATCTCGACGTAGGCGATCTTGCCCTTGGGCGCGGACGGAGGTGAGCCGCCACCGAGCGTGTATCGGAGCCGTCCAAGCGAAGCCTGGCCTCCAGCTTAGTGACAAAGGGCGACCAGGCGTACGCATTTGTGGGTGGCGAGCCGCGAAACACGGTAATGCTATGACCCTGGGAGTCCTGGCGCTGCTTTGACACTTTGGTCGAGGTATTGCCGCTGGCTCTGCGCTGCGCCGGAAACAATTGGAGACGTGGGCGATCGGGCTGTCTTGTAGACAAGCCTGACGTCGGCGGCTCGGCCGCCAGTCACGCCGACCTGGCCCGACGGCGGCGAGGCCGAGGCGCGAAAGGATTCGCGACCCAGCGCCCCTCCCGCGTGAGGAACACGAAGCACTTTGGCTGGCGACATTCACGATGCCTATCGCCTTGGCGAGAAGATGGAGCAAAATTTCGCTGTCGAGACCGGGTGCTGCCGACCTGATACACAGCAACCCCAATATGAGTTCCTCGTACCTCGCGCCCCTGCGACGATCCGACCAGATTCAGTTGCCTGCTGTCGCCGCTCATGATACTAATGACAGTCGCGTCGGCAAATGATGACAAGGTGGCAGGGGAATTTACGCCGCCCATTGCCAGATTGAGATTGACCGATTGCATCATTCGCCGTCGTCCGGGGCTCCCTTCTGCTCATCGAGCATTTGCGGCAGCAGTGCTGGCCCAATGTGGGTTTTCTCCCTTCCCTTTCCCTACGGAATCTGGAGACGCATATCCGCGTCGAGGGTGATGGTCGACCCAAGGGATGGAGAAAACTTCTCCATCGGCCCCATTGAGAAACCCATGCATTAGTGACAGCCATCTCCGGCGAGTCGGCCCTTTTCAGGCGTCTCCAAGTCGCACACCGAGCAGGTGAAGCTGGCGATGCTGGTTACGGCCTTGACCGGACCACAGTCACCCCACGGCAGAAGTAGCTTCAGCCAAAGGTGGGGCAGAGAAGCAATCTCATCCATATGCGAAGCCAGCCCACCTCACTCGTCTCGGATGGCTAGATGCGTCAGAATTATTAATGCAAACAGCTGCCTGTGCGAGAATTCTGCGATCCCGTCTGTCTATATATCAACGTTGGTGGCCCATCGTCGAATCCTCACTCGAAAGCTCGCAAACCCGCGGCCCCTGGCTCGTCAGACATCCACACACGCCATTTAGCACCCCTCAAACGACGTCATCCGACCCCTCCGTCCGTGCGACACCACACGACACCATGGCATCAACCACTTTTAACGTCGGCGTCGTGGGCTACGGGTGTGTTTGAACGCCTGCGCCAGACACGCTGCTCGCTAACGCCATCGCAGCATGTCCGCCAAAGTCTTCCACATCCCCTTCATCACCACGACGCCTCAGTTCAAGCTCCACAGCATTGTCCAGCGCAGCCCCAAAGACGGCAACTCGGCGCCGCACGACCACCCCGAGGCCAAGCACTACACAGACGTCAAGCAGCTCCTGGCAGACCCGGACGTTGAAGTCGTCGTCGTCACGACCCCGCCCGACAACCATTTCGAACTCACAAAGGCCGTGCTCGAGGCCGGCAAGCACGTCCTGACGGAGAAGCCATTCGTTCCCACCTCCGCCGAGGCCAACAAGCTCATTGCCATCGCCAAAGAGAACAAGCGCCTCATCTGCGTCTACCAGAACCGCCGGTGGGACTCGGACTTTTTGACCGTCAAGCACCTCATCGAGAACGATGTCCTCGGCCGCGTCGTTGAGTTCAACACCCATTTTGACCGATACCGTGCCGCCGCCCCCACCAACTGGAAGGGCGAGCTGGGCATCCCCTCGGGCGGCAGCGCCATATTCGACCTGGGCACCCACCTCGTCGATCAGGTGTACACGCTATTCGGCATGCCCCAAGCCGTCCACGGCCGCCTCATGTCCCAACGCTCCGGCAAAGCCGATTTCTTCAACCCCGACGGCGTGTCGGCCGAGCTGACGTACCCCAACGGCATGCTCGTCAACGTCCGCATCAGCGTGCTCAGTGCCGAGCTGGTTCAGCCGCGCTTCTGGGTCCGCGGCTACAAGGGAAGTTTTCACAAGGTAGGCCTCGATCCGCAAGAGGACCAGCTCAAGGCCGGCGCCAAGCCCACCGACGCAGGCTTCGGCAAGGACAGCCCCGACAGCATGCGCCTCGTCCTCGTGGGCGAAGATGGCAAGATGAAGGAAGGCAAGGTGCCCGACCTCGAGCCAGAGACGTACAAGGTGTTTTATTCCGCCTTTGGGAAGGCTGTCGCCAGCGGCAAGGAGGAAGATGTGCCTGTCAAGGCTACCGAGGCGAGAGACGTGCTTCGCATTCTCGAGGCAATCATGGAAAGCGCAAAGGCTGGTCGAGATGTGACGTTCCCCTGAAGCCCTTCCAGTGGCCCGGCTGCGACAAATGAGATGGAGGGCGAACACACAGACCCAAACAATAAAGTTGATACCCGCTCCGTTGGCGCCCCAGACCTTCTACCATTACCGACGGCAGCGAGTATCGAGAGAGCGTGAATGCTGATCAGTATACGCCGTACTTCGGCAGACTTGCGTGGCGCCGGATCTTCAACTCAATCTTGATGGGAAGCATACAGAATGCCCCATGAAACACCCTGCTGCTCTTCGTCCAGGCTGTGGTGACTACCAGCTGTTGCTCTAATGGGATGGAGTAGCCAGGAATGGCAAGAGTGCAGAGCGTGAAAACACCCGATGCGATCTTCTCCGGGGCAGGAGCTCCTGGCATCAAGCCAGGCACCCACGTAGGTGCCTGCCCCATCCAAGGACATGGTGACGGCCTGCTGCTGGTTCAAACGGATCCTTGGTAAGCGCCATAATTGGCAAGAACGCACGGCGTGGACATACCAGCTTTGACATTCCCGAGGCAGGAACTTTGTAACCGGGTGAGGCGCCTTGGGCGCCTACCTGATAGCAAGGTGGGCATCTCCCTCATCCTCGCGTGCTGCCATGGTAGCACATCAGCAGCGCGAGCCTGGGCGACGTCGCAAAGCTCCCAATCCCATCTCCAATTCTCCCACCGGTGCAAATCCGCTGCTCCATCTCGCAACGTTGCGAATCGGTTGCCATCTTCTCGTTCCTCCACTACTATCGGAACCATCACCTGAGCCACCATGGACGCTGGCAGCCGCCATGCCCGCCGGAACGCGGGTCGGCATTATTCGGCACCAGGTTCTGCGGGTGGTCGTGCGTTACCTGCTGCATTTTTTGCAACATCCTCATCCACCGACACTCACTGCTTTGGACAGCGGTGGAAGCATGATGCCATGGCTTTTGACCTTGAAGCCGGCTGTGCTCCATTGCCGTACGGGGACAACCAGACACCCGCGCCATGGTGGCCCTGGGCCGTGACAGGATCCGAATTGGAGCACAAAATACGTGATCCCGCTTCATGCGACCGAATTGGCTACTCGATGCGGCCCCAGAGTCAGACCCCCGCCTTCATTGCTCGGTTCGTTGGCTTCTTGGTTTACTGCATGGTTCTCGCTGTGCTCGTTCCTTGCTTGACTCGAATGGGCATCGACCTCATCCCTGCATCTTCCGATCCCGAAACCAAAAGAAAATCTGGAATGAACGGAGTAGCATCCGTTTGGGCGGAGGTTCTCGTAACAACGGGGGTGGTCTTCCTACTGGCACACGGCCTTATGGGGTACGTTCGGATGGTCCGAGAGCGCATGCATCTCACTAACGACCATGTCACGCACCAGTACTCGAGCTGCCCGAGAGAGGATGGAGCGGGTGAGGCAGACGAGCGTCACGCTCGCTTACTCCTTTCTCAAGACCGCGACGACGGACTGCGCTATCGGTCACGACAAGGACCAGCTTCAGGTGGTTATATAGTAGGCCTACCGCGCACCGTACATATTCAAATACCGACGACATCACCGCTGACTTTGATACAAGCGAATGCCTTTGCCTACTGACGGCGTATCCTGTCGCGCTGCTGGAGCAGATCCGCGGCAACACATGCGAACCCGGACTTCCAAAATACTGTCGACAAACGGCGGAGGCACTCCAACGACTCAGAAACGGTGATGGGATTGACGCGAGGCAGCGGACGTACGAAAGCAAGCGTCGGCCCAACAAGAGCAGAGGTCAGCATCAGTTTGCCTCTGTGGCATTCTTCTTTGAAATCTTCTCGCTCGAGCTCCAGCTCGAGTTTGCCACGCAGACTATGAGAGTAGATGCGCCGTCCACGCTGCCCCATCACATCATCTACAATCTACGCAACCACTTTGAGAACTTGAGCGACATTGGAAACATAGACGACCGCCGGGCGCCTATTATTCGTAAGTTCATTAAGATGTCAATGCCGTCAAGTCCTGCAATTACCAAGCTGACCCGCGACATTGCCAGGCGAGAGCATTGACATTCTTGCGCAATCTGGACGGGAATGTACTGTGTTTGCCTTCACGGACGCCATCCCATTGGAGTGCATGTGGTTCGTCTACGTAGCTGGCTGGCTCATTGCACTGTATGCTCCGCTTCATCACTGCAACTGGTTTGTGCAACAGACCCCGACGGAGCTGGAAGCAACGGAAAACCAGCCGCTCCCGGCTGTAGCCATACTGGCGGTCATGACAGCGCTGTCAGTCCTGTGTTCGATGTTGACTACAATTCTCTCGCAGATGTGGAGGCTTTGGGATCCATTTGGAAGAGGGACCAATACGTACGGGTGGACACTGGGCATTGCAATGGAAATTGACGACATGCTCAATGAATTCAACGAGTACGACGCCAAGGAAATCCTTCGCAAGCATTCGTACATGGATTCGTCGGCTTACTTGACTGACATGAGGTACGGCAGCGGACCGACAACGCCCGGCCTGTATGTCGAAACAGTTTGATTTGTGCCATTCGCATGCGTGCTTGTGTATTCGCATGGTTACGTCAATGCGGGGAAAGGTGGCATCAGAAACAAAAATTGCTGTCATCCATAGTTAAACACGATCGAACAGAGAAGGAGGCAAATCTCCGGACTTCTAATTACTCGACAGTTTTAAATCTATGAAGTTTTGGGGAATCTTGATGTGACAGCGTTGAAAGAGACCAAACATGCCGGCTGCCGAAAAGAGGAAAATGCTAGTTTCCAAGACCCATGAGCACAGCTCACAAGGCAAATGCAAGGCCCATGATGAATACACAAGACATGGCAATGGCCGGGGCTTTAACCAGGGCGCTGGCGGCGCTTTTCACTTCGATAGGGGTGCTGAAGTAATTGGGGTCGTACGGAGCGGCTTTTGTCTCATTGAGGCTGCCGTCCCAGCAATAGCGTGTGAAGCACTGCTTGCACTTGTCCGGCACGGCCGTCTTTGTGCGCTCAAAGCTGCGGGACAGCATGGCACAGCCGACGCAGACAGGCCAGTCAGCATCGCGAGTGGCGTTGAGCTGCGTGGCGACGGCCCAGCCATTCTGGATGATGGCATCTCGCTGACCGGACTTGATGGCCATCTGGAAGGTGGAGATGTTGGAGGCGTAGATGTAAGGGTAGTTTGGGAGATACACGATAAGGGGTGAAGGGCTCGTCAGGTTAGTCGAGTTGCACCCGAAGAAGACGGGCTTGGTGTTAAGACCGAGATTGAGGAATGTGTCTTTGCCGGGGACGGCGGGGAAGCCCGTGCCGACCGAGATGTTCTCGATGGAACGTTCGTAGGTTGCAATGGCAGAGGCACCGTCGGGCCAACTCGTTTCCGTGTCGGCAGACGAATCTACCGAAAAGACCACGTCGACGGCGCGATCTCGGAGGAGATGCGGGTGGTACGGGACGTTCTGTAAGTCCTCGCCGCCGTCGACGAGTGTGAGGCGCTCCGAGCCAGCGCCGGGGTTCTTGGCAGCGTTCCATCCCTTGAAGGGATTCGGAGTCCAGTCGGCGATGTCGTTGCTGCTATCGCCCAGAGCCTCGAGGACTTTAGTGAGCGCGTCGATGATGAATTTGGGCACGTCGGCTGGGACGTAGTTGTTGGACGTATTGTCCTTGAGATAGAGGACGATTTGGTTGAAGAGGGAGCTCGAGGTGCCCATGACAAAGCCGGCATTGTCAAAGCCCTCGATACACTTCTCGCTGCTGGGCAACGTGCCGTTGTTGAATTTGGAGCCAACGTATCGGAGGGGCACGAAGCCATCGAGCGTTGGATCCGAGGATCCGAGCTCCCAGGGAGTGAACTCGAAAATGGTAGAGTTGGAGGAAATGACCTTTTGGCCGGGAGCGCGGCCGTCGGCGATGAGGAACGGCAGCGGCGTCTTGCCTGAAGAGAAGCCGGCATCGTCGGCAATGGAAGAGAATGTGAAGCCCGGCCCGCCGTCGGTAGCGTTGATGAGCTGATACGACAGCATGCGGCCCCAGTAGTCGGTGATGGATCGGTCGTAGCCGGCCTGGTCCTTTCCGTCGACGGCGTCGAGGATGTTTCGATAGTATTGGAGGAGACTATACTGTTCAGGACCTGGACGATTGCACAGAGGCGTCAGCACCCAGATGGTAACAGAGTCGCTATAGAGGCTAGGCGATTAACGAGGAACCCACCCTTTAGAATGGAGTCGTCGAACATCCAGATGCTCGGCGAGTTAACGGCATCCTGGACGGAGGTAAAGTTGTTGGTGTAGATGCTACCGACAAGCCAGCCTCCGCCGGAGAGACCAGACAGGTAGGTCGCGCTCTGTAGCAGGCCGCCGAGGTTACCAGCGGTCTGGCTGCCGTCGGAGCGGCTGTCCCAGGCCGCCAGGGCGCCGGCACCGTTGAGCATGGCACGGTAGCCGCCGCCGGAGACTGCGAGACCAATGTTGGGCAACGCCGTGGCATTTTTCTCGACGTTTTTGAGGTAGCCATCGCTGTCGAAGCCGGGTATGGCTATCCGCTTGAGCAGCGAGCGGATGTGCGGGATGGTGTCGTTGCGGCGCTTGGGGAGCCAGGCCTTCTCCTCGGGCGATAGCGACGAGCCATTGCGGATCTGCGGGCGCTGCGAGGGGCAGTCGACGGGTGAGGGCGTGTAGCCTTGGGGCGAGCGGTTGATGGCACGCTCTTGGAGGGACGAAGTGTCCAGTCGGGCATCGAGGACGGGTGCTACTGCTGCTCCTGGTATTGCTGCGGGTGGGCGTGTGACGTCAGCGAAGCCGCGCGGATTGAGGTGAGGATGAAGGAAAAGTGCTGGCGCGGGCCGGTGGAGGGCAAGGGCGACCTGAGGCTAACAAAGAAGCGTACCTGCAGAGTGCTGACCCGACTTGACCGTGGCGGCGGCGGCGGCGGCGGCGGCGGAAGCGGGCGCCAGCGCGGTCGCTGCCAGCAGCAGCGTCAGTGATGAAGCGACTGCCATCGTCTGCCGGGTGTTTTGCAGGAGGCGCGCGCTGCGCTATGCGCTCGAGGGATTTCCTCGTTCTGCTTGCGCCGCGGCGACTTGGGAGCGGAAGCGAGTCGGGGGCGCGACTGGGGGCTCTCAAAGGTAAGTCGATGGGGCCGGGCCGAAACAGGTGGCTCTGACGACTGTGATTCCACGGCCCCTGCAAAGTAGCTTGTACGCGCAAATCGCCACGACGTTCCAGGCGGACAAGAAAAATATTGCAGAGGCTCGTGGGCCAGCGGGAGCCTCGGGCCTGACGTTGGAATCATCAAGACAGCCCAGACCACGTTGGCTGCGGGCGGGAGGGCTTGGCTTTTTGAGCGGCACCGCAAGCGAGCGACCGAGCAATGCGCGCCCCCTTCAGCGCAGGGTCCCGTTCCGGCCGCCGCGGTGCATGACTGGGCGCTCGGGGAGATGCCGCCCAGACGGGAAGACTTGGCGGTACGTACGCACGGAGAACGGAATACGGTGCACCTTGCTAGATGGTATTATTATGGACCACCCAAAGGTCGAGTGGCACTACAGCCTCGCACCGTCGGGGCCCGTCACGCGTCCGGGGGCCCGGCTCGCAGCACCAACCGGCACCCCAGGCGCCTTGCAGCTGCAACTGCCCTGGATCCGCTCGAGATTTCCACGGGTACGTGAGGCACTCAACCTGGTAGTACGACGTGCCAACGGGCGGATGTAAATGTGTAATCGCCCCCAACGCGATGCCGTCTTGCCGACAGATGTGCCACAACGCCGCAACGCCGTTCGCCGTCGCAGAGTTGCTGCGGGCGTGGGCGATCAGCAGCGACCGGGGCTGGGTGCAATGCCCCCCCGGGGGGCTGAGGCTGCTTGACCCCAAGCTTGCTCGGTAGGCGTGCTGTCGCATCTGCGGCTGCGCCGCGCGCCACGAGATCCGCCGTTGATGGACGGCCCACCACTCCCTCTGTCTCCGGCCGAGGCTCCGGCCCACTATAGATCGGGCAGGGGGGCAGTGTCAGCTTTACTGCATGAGGTAACTTGGTACGAGGTACGAATGCGCTTCGTAAAACCACCTCCCATGCTGAGGAGCTGTCAAACCGGGCCTGCCAAACGGTTTCGCCCGACCCCGCTTGCCGATGTTCAAGAGCGAGGGCGAGGAGTCGAGGGCGAGGACGGCGAGTCGTCTCACCAAACAACTTGCGCGAACAGAACACACCTGCTCGTCTTCCCAAGTCCAGGCCAGGGGAACAGCGCGCCATGGGTGCTCTGCATGCAGCGCGGCCATTTATGTCCCTTGACAGCGCCTGGTAACCGCGCATGTTTCCGCATCGGGGCATAATAAGCCAGCGAGGCGTCCGTCAGCCTCCCCGAACGGGGACTCGATCATCTGGGCTGGGCCGCCTTGCCGCCCCACGGCCTTACCTTAAAATCACGTATGTACTAAGTTACTCGTGATAAAGGCTCTCGCTCCGGGGCAAGCCAGTCATACCAGCACTCTGCAGATGTGCTGAACCTCCGAGGGGGCGGGACACAGAAGACTCGCGTCGCAGACTGCGCAGCTTGCCTGCATGGCCTCGCGTTACATCCCGCGCCGCCGAGAGCCAAAGGTACTTTCTGAAAACAGTACGTACTTCGCCCGCCCTGGAGGGAACTGGCCTGCGCCTTGCTGTGGCTGGCTGCGACAACGGCATTGCCTCGTTGGGTGAAAACATTGTTGGCGTCTCGGTCGCGTTCCGACCAGAATCCACCCATGACGCTCGTCACCTCCGTCCACCTCCCGCACACTCCGTGGAAACAAGTGACGAGGCTCGGGATCTGCGGCTTCGCCCCTGTATAGGTCTGAGACGAAGGATTGCAGGTCGTCATTGGGCCACCATCCTCTCGTGAGCTGTCGCTGGTCTGGCGCCAACTCATCCATCGCATCCCATTTCGTTGGGTGGCCGCCTCCTGCAATTCGGGTCACCGGCACGCCCCGTTACATGGGCGTCCAACAGTCTCGTCTTCATTCGTTGTACATAATACAGAGTACTATATTACGGAGTAGCTAAAGGAGGAAAACGGATCTTGGCTGCCGCCGGGTCGAATATTAACCATGGCGGCGTCGTCGCTGTCACCCACTGCAGTGCGCCTGACGTTAAAAGTTGTGAGTTGATCGTGGGAACTACTCTGCGTCGTGAGATCGTACTGGGCTCCAGGAGAATAACGCCAACTGACGGCAAGGAGTCGGCCCTCAGACCTTTCACCCAACGCCGCCGCCAATTGCGCCCGACTGTCGCCCAAAAAATCCTTGTGGCCCCGGTGTTGCCCGGCTTGTACATATAGCCTGCTCGTACGAAGTAATGTAAGGTTTTCGCCCAAAGCGCTCGTTAAGCGAACCCGCCCAAGCTCTCCATCGGCACGGACAGCGAGTTTCCACCGCAAAGGACCTTGGTCTTCGTTGTCTGCCTCGCCGTTGGTGTGTCTGCCTTGCTTGCTGGCCCGTCACTGCAGGTGAGGTTGAGAGTCACGCCTCCTTCGGCTTGAAAACCCGTAAACTCCTTGGCGCACCTCCAGGTTTGCTTGATATTAAGCCGCCCTGTCCGCTGAGAGAAAGTGAATGTCGCTTTCTCCCCCTGGGCTGGAACGCTACAGCGGTACTCTTGCTGGCCGTCGAAAAAGTCGGGCGCCTCGGTGGACTGCGCGCTGCAGTTGGCCCGGTATGCCACCGCGGCGTTGGCTAGCTCGAAGCTGATGGAGCCCACGGAACCATTGGCCGATTTCGGGGTGGTACTTGAGTCGTATGAGGCACTGAAGCCCAAGTTGACCACGTCCCACTTCGTTGTCGATGACGAGAGCTTGGTGCATGGTCCGACGGCTTGAGCTGCGGGCCGGCCGGCAACCAACCCGCCGCAAAGCAGTGCCGCGGCGATGAGGCCCTGCATAGTGAATGCTTGCGACGATAGAGTGGCGCGAGCGACGACGTTCGGTTAATTATGGATATGGCGGTGAATGAAATGCAAGGTATCACGAAACGAGAGTGCGCCGATTCTAAGCGAGTGTGAAAGCGATGCAAATGAACGAATATACGTAGCGAACGATCGGCCGCGAGCGAGAGCGTACAGGCACAGGCACATTCGTGTCCCTGCACGAGCCGGCGGCAGCGCTTTTATTAAAAATCATGTTCCCTGGCGAGGGATAGAGCGCGTCTCGAGCTCTCGCGAGGAGATTGGGAGGGGTATGTCTCAGCTGAGCATGGCACGCACGGTCGTGGGGACTTTGGCACCGACGCGTTGTGGATGTGACGCTGCAGCTGCACGCGCCGAGTTTCTTATTCAACGGCTACCACGAAGAGGGGGGCCCGCTCATGTTGATGCGGCGCTACATGATGCAGACGTAGAGACGCTTCACGCGCGCAATATGAAAAGGCTGCTTTGCATAAGGGTTGGAGTTGAGTTGCGCCGATCCGTTGTGATGCTCCGGCGCTGGGGTCTGACGCAACACGCCCCAGACGTCGATGAACTGGCGCAACCGACCTGTAAAGTGCACGTTTTCACTCGGCCCAGGCACGAGCGACCGTGCGTCAGTCGGCATACTCATCGCTGGGCGGCTCTCTGCCGAATGGGTGGTTGAATTTGAGCAGGCCGTTCAAGCCACCGACCCAAGGATCGTCATCCTCAGCCCTGATGATGCATGGGACACCTCCATGCCATTCCTCGCCGGGTCCGGCCCGCCCGACAAACTCACCCTCGATGCGAATCTCGGATCCCGGCGAGACGCCGGCGCACCGCTTTCCATCAATGTTCAGGTCCAGCTCTCGGCCCCTGTTTTTGGGGCTCATGCGAAGGCACACTCTGGTATCCAGCGGCAGCACCAGCGACCGAAAGCTTAGGCTGCAAGGGCTTATGGGGGTGATGAGCAGCGACTTGACGAGCGGGTGCACGATGGGGCCGCCAGCACTGAGGCTGTAAGCAGTCGAGCCTGTAGGTGTGCTGACCAGGATGCCGTCCGCCGTGGTCTCCGTGAGGAAGTGGCCGTTCTGATAAATGTCAATGATTGCCAGGTGAGGGTGCGAGCCTCTGTGAACAGAGATCTCATTGATTGCGCGAAGTGAGGGCGATTCCTCCTTGGTGCCGGCGATGCCAGACTTGGAGTGGCTCGCGAGGGTGTCTGATACCCGATTGTTGATGTTGTTGCCCGAACGGTCAAAGATGTCGGCCTTGATGCGATGGCGAAGCAGAACCTTGGACGCCCTACTGATTCCTAAGCTTTTACCTTTCATGTGATCCCACCCGACGAGAGAGGACGAGGCAGCGTCCTCACCAACAGTGTCCCAGTCGCCACGAGGCACGGCAGCGTCCTGCACGGCCACGCCGCTTCCACTCATGTACATCTCCCTCCAAGCCTTCTTGTGCTCGCTGAAGCTCCACTCGCCGAGGAAGCCCAGAGTCCCCATGCTGAAGGACAGGATCGGAGGAACGGAGCCGTGCAGCTTGAAGAGGCTGGCGGCTCTCAAGACCGTCCCGTCTCCGCCAAAGGTGGCGATTACGTCGACCTTGTCGGCGATGTTGGATCGAGTGTCGGACACGTAAACGGGGAAGTTGAGCTGGTCTTCAATCGAGTCGGCGATCCGGGGCTCAACGATGATGTTGACATCGGGATACTCGCCGCGGATGTACCTTGCAAACTTGAAGACGGATTCGGACACGTCTGGGGCGTACAGCTTCTGAACCAAGAGCAGGTTCCGGGGCGGACGCGGCCACTTGAGCGACAGGAGGGAAGAGCCCGGCTTCGTGCTCTGTAGATAGCGCGGCACAGTCCGACTTGGGAGTTCGGCGGCGCTTCGTAATTCGGCAAGCCGAAGGGAGCGGGTCGTGGAAAGAAGTCGGGGCTGCGGGAGCGACACGGCACGAGCCGAGCATCGTGAGGCTTGTCGCGGGCGCGTCGCGAGGAGCAACGGCTCCCAAAGGCGCCGATGGCTAGGCATGCTGGAAGCCGGATGTCACTTTTCGACCATGATGCCTCGATCCGGAGCTACGTAGAGGAAGTAGACCGACGAGACGCGAGGCAAAAGAGCGAGCGAGCGAGAAGGTGGACTGGCTGGTGTCTGGTACTATCCGCGCTTTGGTTCCAAGCTTTGTCGGCTCACCGAGTCAGTCTTGCGAGTTCAAGTCTGGCGTTGCTTGACTTCCGGGGTGCCGCGCCGCCCCACCTGGCCTGACCGCCTGCCTCTTACAGCATCAGCGCGGGCGGGGAGCCGCTCCTCCCGTTGCGGCTGTCCTCGAGTGCAGTTGGTGTCGCAGTACTTCGGATTATGTACATACCTGCTAGTAGCAGTATGGATTCGGCGCTTCCGTGGCAATCGTCCACTCCGCATGCAAAGGTGCTCCCTCCTGTGGTGTCGGGGCGCGCTCTGACGAGTGCCTAGAAATCGGCAGCTGTTGGCGGGTGGACAAGGGCACCACATGTGCCTCCGCTCACGTTGCTGCCCCTCCCTTCCCAAAGGGTCGGGCCCCCAGCACAGGCACCGAAGGTCCCCACGGGAGCTCATTTTGCGCTGCGTCTCATTGGCAGCTTGGTGCGTCAGCTGAGGTGGACACTGCCGGAAACCCGACCTCCAGCCCTGGATGTCGTCACATGCGCAGGGCACCACCACGGCCGGACGACCTCACCAGCAGTCAGCACCGCCCGTCGTCTTCACGAGCTGACTTCGCGTTCAAAGGTGAGCCGATCAGGTGCACTCGGTGCCCGGAGACACCACCTGATCGCTGCCGCGCGAACCTCCCACGACTTTGTATCAACCGATCCACCCGACTCTCTGCGTCGTCCTTGCAATCGTCGACCTTGGTTGCAACGGGCGCCTCACCCTTCCCTTGCGCCAGCCATCAACACACGCGATCGCTCGGAGTGACAGCGACAAACGGACCCCAGTAGCCTTGCATAGGATCCGTTCTGCCGTCAACCAAGATTTTTAAAGTCGTTCGCCATGGCCGACGGCAAGCATCCCGGCGCATCCGGGACCGACCTCGCCGCGGGGGTGAACGACCATGGGGTGTTGCAGAGGAGCGAGAGACGCCTTGCGCATCCCTCCGGGAAGGAAGGCTACGGCCGCCTGGCTCAGGTCCTCCGGGGGCTTGCCTTTACCGTCTACTTTACTTCGTGCTGTCTGACGTTGGTCATGCCCCATTCCGCCCAGCTCTCCCTTGGCCGTCCTTACTCGGCGAAATTTCGACTGACAGGTGGCCTCTTCGCAGGATCGTTGTGACGCAGTTCATCGGCGCGCCACTATACTTCATTAACCGCGACTGGTTCTATGCGTACATGGCCATGACCAAGCGCTCGTTTGCGCTGACGACAACGGTCATGACCCAAATATGGGGCCCGACTACAGTTCGAATCAGCGGCGACGAGTCTGTTGCCGGCCAAATAAAGTCTACCGGCAGCGGAGGCGTGCAGTTTTCGTTTCCTGAGCGACTCGTCCTCATCGCCAATCACCAGGTACGCGTTAGTGCCGACGGGGCTGCCGCGGACATGCGTGTCCCGCCGAGCCTTGAAGACGTTTCGCCCCTGGCGGGTAGCTGACAAGCTCGGTTCTACACATAGATATATACCGATTGGCTGTATCTCTGGTGGATTGGCTACGTCAACCAGCCAGCGATGCACGGACATCTGTACATCATCTTGAAAGAATCACTGCGCTACATTCCACTCATCGGTACGGGCATGATGTTCTACGGGTTCATCTTCATGTCGAGGAAGATGGCGACGGACCAGCCGCGGTTGGCTTACCGGCTCAATAAGCTGAAGCAGAAGAGGACCGACCCCAAGGGAAAGCCATACCTGGACCCCATGTGGCTGTTGCTCTTCCCTGAGGGCACAAACTTGTCGGGTAACGGGCGACGGAAATCCGGACAGTGGGCTGAGAAGAATGGCCTGAAGGACCCCGAGCATGTGATGTTGCCGCGCAGCACCGGCAGTTTCTTTTGCCTCAATGAGCTCAGGGGCACCTTGGACTACGTGTACGACTGCACAGTAGCGTACGAAGGCATCCCGTAAGTTGCCGACCGGCATGATATGCGTGTCAGCAATGAGCATACGTGTCGGAACATTTGCTGATACAGACAACAACAGCCGAGGCAAATACGGCGAGGAGATATTTGGGCTCTCGAGCACATACTTCCAAGGCCGACCGCCCAAGTCTATCAACCTCTACTGGCGGCGGTTTCGCATGTCCGACATACCGCTCGACGACCAGAAGGAATTCGACTTGTGGCTACGCGAGCAGTGGTACAAGAAGGACGAGCTCATGGAGGAATACCTGACGACGGGACGGTTTCCTCCCATGGCCGGCGCGAAGGCTGGCTTTGTCGAAACCTCGGTTCGGACTCGTCAGCCCTGGGAGATCCTGCAGGTTTTCACTGTCGTAGGAATCTGCGGCCTCCTCTGGAACAACGTTAGGAGGCTCCTGCATGCAGCTTCAAAGGGCCTCGGCTTCTAGCAACGCCACGAAGCTAGCAATGCCTGTTGTACATGGATGGCACAGGCAAGCTGGCGACCGAGTCTCTAGGATAGGCGTTGAGTTGTTTTTGATTACGGGCGTTGGATGGCAAGCCTCTTCATCTAGAGCAGTGGCCAGGTAGGGGTGATTCTGCAAAGGGTCACTGAGCGTAAGATTACAGTGATAGAGCCAATGAAGTATTCTCGTTCGCGAATCGTCAGCATGGGCCTTCGGGCTGATAAAAGCCAGCTGCAATCCTCTCGGCATGCTCAGTCCGTCGAAATTAGCCGGCCTGAGCTGCAAGTGACAAGTCTGCAGAGGGCCGGTCAATCCAACAGCTTGGCCAGAACCTCATGGGCCAACGGCCGGGGAGGGCCGGCGACGAGCCAACAAGCCAAGACATACGCACCGTGATGGTGCAGCCAGCGACGGCGGGAGTCGGAGGTGGCTTGGTTTTGGGGCCTGTTTATGCATACTCTAAAGGTTTGCCTCCCCCGCGCTATTGTCTGCGCTCGGGACCCCACGTCTCCGCGTGGCGGTCTGGGCGACGGGAGCATGGGGAGGACGGCCCAGCCTGGCTGACCAATAGCTGGTCAACGTTGCCTCGCCGATGCCGAGGCATTGAACGAGCGCCCAGCCAAGCTTGGCGCCATTGGATAGCTGCCATGGACGGAATCAGATCATGAGGTGCGGTAGGCCCGTAGCGACGGCAGCGCCATCACTGGACAGGCGACGCGGACTTCTCCCCACGGAGGAGGTTCGCCGGATGCACCAGACTCTCTCGATACCGTATCAAAATAGCTGGCTTCATCCGTCCCGGAGAGCCAATGTTTCCGTCTGTTTCCTGAATGATGCAGTCGGAGATCCCTTTACTCTGATAGCAATGCCCCTGAATACCTGTGCATATGTGCGCCTATAATTATTCGCGGCCGTCAAATGGCCCATGAGCCCCAACCAAGCTGAAGGTGCCACAAACGTATGACGAACTCTTCGTCATGCAGGGCCTTCGCACGAGGCCCTGTCCCTGAAGTCAGCCTCATCCTGCCACAGGCATGGCAGCCCGGCGCAAAGACCAGCCCAAGGAGCTGCTGGCCGCGTGAGTGATGGAGTCCAACTAAACGCAGCGCGCATCGTCTTCTCCGCAAATCTGCTGCCAACGGGAACGCGGGCAGGTCACACCAAACTCAAAGCATCTCCCCTGACCCTTCCGCCGTTATCGTCGAGCAGTGACATTCCAATCGCGCCCCGGAGACCACGTCGAAACAGGGCAACACCCCCGCGTTCCCCGCAGAATCCATCGCTAGTGGCTGATCGCTGCATGGGGCCACCCCCAGATTCTTTAAACTCCCGAACACCAAACTCTCTCTCAATGCCCTCCCCCGCATGTCGGGGGCAGGCTATCGAGTCGTGGCAGCCACTGCGCCTTCGACGCAACACGCAACAGCCAAGAACGCCATCATCATCGACTGGTGGTGTCGGCCGAAATAACAAAAAGGAACAACCGAGGTAAGATCCACTCGAAGTCGAGGCTCCCGGGATACCGCTGGCCAGGTTGCCGACCCTGGCTGTGGCCTATGCTCGGCTTGCTTGCATCTCTCCATCGCCCCATCGCTCCGTCGCCCCCGTTGCAAGTCCACACGTCCGGGTAGTTGGCGAATGCAGTACCATCAGCACGCCTGTCGGTTAATTCACCTCGCCGGTAAAAGTCCACTTGACGAGTATATATCTACCCCATCGTCCCCCGTGTTGCGGCCCAACCCCATCGAACCAATTTCCATCCAACATATCTCCGCGCAGCGCATTCCTTCTTCTGTCTTCTCACAGAAACGAATATATCGTGTTTTCGCCTGCAACAGTCAAGCCACCACCTTGCATACACACACTTGCCCGGCTGACCGGTTCCCAACAATGGAGGGGAGAGGAGCCACCCACGGTGACAATGTAGACCAGGAGAAGCAAGCCATCGAGTACGCTCATGTCGACGCCGCCAAGGATAATGTCGACAACGAAGTGGGCAAGGTTAATACCCACGATGAATTTACACCCCAAGAGCAACGCAAGATCATCCGGCGTATTGACCGTCGACTTGTTGTAACTGTCGGTGCCATGTACTGCGTCAGTCTCATGGACCGGACAAACATGAGTGCGGCCAACATAGCAGGCATGAGTGTTGAGCTCGACCTCCACGGGTATCGATATGTGAGTCACTTCCTGCTGGTCCGAGCTGCACGCGCTTAGAGCTTTGCGGTTGCTGACGCGCAAGGTCGCCTTGCTAGAATATCGCAAACCTCGTCTTCTTCATTCCTTACATCATATTTCAGCCTCCATCTACCGTTCTCGTCCGAAAGCTTGGCCCACGTGTGCATCTAGCGGGAATCACCCTTTTCTGGGGCGCCGTCATGATTGGCATGGGCTTTGTCAAAGATTTCGGCCAGCTTGCTGGGCTTCGGGTTATACTCGGTCTGCTCGAGGCAGGCTTCTTCCCCAGCTGCGTCTATTTACTCAGCACGTGGTACACGCGGTGTGAGTCTTCACGGAAGCGTGGATTGGCACACGTAGCTGACTGTCACCAGACGAGGTCGGAAAACGCTATTCACTCTTCTACTTGCTTGGCTGCGTCGCGTCGGCATTCTCTGGCATCCTAGCCTACGGGGTATGTTCTGAGCGATGTTGTTGACAGCCATTTTGCAGCTAACAGCTCCGCAGCTCATGCAACTGAACGGACGAGAAAACCTTACAGGCTGGCGATGGATCTTCATTATCGAAGGCGTGCTGACGTGCGCCCTAGCCATTGGCTGCTACTGGTTGCTGGTTGACTTCCCAGACTCAAAGAGAACGTCGTGGAGCTTCTTGGGTCAGCGTGAACGCCAATGGGTCGTTGACCGCATCCAAAGAGACCGGGGCGACTCCAAGGTGCCGCCATTCAACATGAGGAAGTTCCTTGGCGGTGGCGCTGACTGGAAGATATGGGCATACGCCATGATCTTTCTCAACACCACGACCATGTCGTACGCCCTGGCGTATACATTGCCACTTATTCTCATGGGGAATATGGGTTTCAGTGTCGGCGAGTCTCAGTGCCTCGTGGCGCCACCATACGCATTTGCTGGCATCGTCATGTTCCTGACTGGATACTACGGCGACAAGTTCCGCTTCCGGGGGCCCATCATCATCTTCAACATGATCCTCTGCCTCATCGGTCTTCCCATCATGGGATGGCACAAGGATGCGGCCGTGCGGTATTTCGGCGTCTTTCTCGTCACAGCAGGAGCCAATAGCAACATTCCCGCAACGATGGCATACCAAGCCAACAATGTCCGCGGCCAGTGGAAGAGAGCCTTCTGCAGCGCTACACTTGTTGGCTTTGGTGGAATTGGTGGCATCGTCGGCAGCTTGGTCTTCCGCGAGCAAGATAAGCTCACTGGCTACAAGCCGGGCATGTACACTTGCATTGCCTGTTCCCTCCTGTCGATCATCCTCGTCATTGTCTGTGACCTGGACTTCCGGAGGCTGAACAGGCTGGCCGACCAAGGCCAGAAAACACTGGAGTCCCACGATGTAAGTGTCTGTACAAACGGAGGTAACGGTGTGAGCTTCGCTAACTTGTCACAGGAGGATGCCTCGACCGATTTCCGGTACACGTACTAGTTCACGTTACAGAATGAGAATATACCTAAATGTGACGATTTTATAGTGTGCCATGGTGAGGACAAAGCGAGCGGGCTTCGAGCTCGTTGTCGTTGCGTAACCGACATTTTGCGACGTAATCGTCGCATGCGATGCCGCCCCACTGGCAGCGTGCTGTAGTCGTGACACATCAAATCTCACACCATATGCCTTGATTTGACAATTGACAAACTCGGGCCCACGGTCTGGATTTGTCCAGTACATCGCCACCAAGTTCTCTTGCCCGTGCTTGGCACGTCGGATGAACTATCCAGTTTGTGCCCGGGGTTCGTCCCCTTGCATCACTGTCTGAACCCACGTGCATCTTGGCGGTCGGACATGGCCGATCTGGGAAGGAGCTTCGGTTCGCCCCGCTCCCGCCCGGAATGCTGAAAAGGCTGAAGAGTCTCATTCTGGCTCAGGAGTCAAGCCCTCGCCATTTGTCTTCCCATTTGATCCCCATTCTTCTTAGCACATCATCGCGTGTAATCTGAGGCGGGCTGCCAGGCAAGGCGTCGACGACATGAGGCTGAACACTCTCCTCCAAGTACTTGTTGGGGCACTGGCCACGGCCCAAGATGCCTTATACAGCGAGCGCTTGACGAAACGCTTCGTCGACGCCGAAGGACACTATAACATATGTGAGTTGCCAGCGCGTGTGCGGAAACTTCCACATTCGTGGCAACTAAAATCTACGTCCATAGCATTCTTTCACGTCAACGATGTCCATGCACATTTAGACCAATTCGCTAAGTCCGGGGCCGATTGCGTGGACCAGTCCAAAGGATGCTTCGGCGGGTACGCTCGCATCTTGTCCAAGGTCAAAGAACTCCGCGGTCAGCATCCTGACCACCTCTGGCTCAATGCCGGCGATGAGTTCCAAGGAACGCTGTTCTACTCCTTTTATGGTGGCGAGAAGATTGCCGAAACGGTCAACCAGCTCGGCTTTGACGCCATGACTCTTGGCAACCATGAATGGGACGGTGGCGACTCGGCGCTCGGAGAGTTTATACAAAACCTGACCTTTCCCGTCGTCTCCTGCAACGTCAGAAGCACTCACGAAGTGCTGAACAGCACCATAAAAAACTACCACATCTTCGAGGAGCACCAGTTGGCGGTCATCGGGGTCACCACAGAGACGACAAAATCCATTTCCAATGTGGGAAGCGGCACCATCTTTCTGGATCCAGTCTCTGAGGTGCAGAACTCGATCTATCAGATACGAAACAGCACAAAGATCAAGCGAATAGTCGCCTTGACGCACCTCGGCTATGACGTAGACCAAGAGCTTGCACGAAGAACTGAAGGACTCTCCCTTATCATCGGAGGACACAGCCATACATTGCTCGGAGACATGGCCAATGCCAAGGGTAAATACCCGACGGTCGTCAAGGATCTTTCTGGAAACGAAGTCTTTATTGTCACCGCGTACAGGTGGGGTGAGTACATCGGGTATATTGATGCGACGTTTGACGAGGATGGCAAAGCACTCGCATACCGTGGTGCTCCAGTTCACATGGACAACACAACCACCCTGGACGAGGCACTGCAGAAGCAAGTCCAGTCATGGCGTGCGCCTTTTGAGAAGTATGCAGCCGAGGTGATTGGAGAAACAGTCTACGAATTGGACCAGACGACATGCCAGCAACAGGACTGTCTGCTCGGCCAAGTGCTTGGCGACGCCATGCTGCAATATCGTCTCAACCAGACAACAGACCAACACCGTCCCGCGTTTGCTATTGTGAACGCTGGCGGCATTCGCGCTACAATTGACGCAGGGAACATCACCCGGGGCGAAGTGTTGACATCATTTCCTTTCGGCAACGCTGTCGTCGAGGTGAATTACCGCGGATCAGACCTGCGCAAGATCCTTGAAGGATGTGTTTCCCGGGTCAATCAGTTCAACCAAAATAAGGTGACGTCCTGGTTCCAGGTCTCTCAAGGTGTCACAATCAGATACAACCCGACACACCCCCCGGGATCAATGCTTTCTTCTGTTAAGATCGGAGGGAAGCTACTTAACGATACACTCGAGTATCGTATAGTGACCGTGGATTTCCTAGCAGGTGGCGGCGACAATATCCTCCCAATCACACCGAACACTACACCACTCGACACCTTAGATAAAGTCCTCGTCTCGTATATTCAGCAAGGAACACCGCTTAAAAACCAGCTTCAGAAAAGGGTAGTAATCTCGCTAAAGCCTGGCTGTAAAAGGGGTAAAGATATAGCTTAAAGACTAAGGGCTATTAATATCTTCTTTAAAGGATTAAGATATTAAAGTTATAAAGATAGATAATTTATAAAATAATATTCTTTTATTTTATTAAGGTATATAAGCTAGCATTCAAAATTATAATATTACTAAGCCTTTTATATAACTTATAATACTATATTAAATTAGGATACTATATTTCTTATATTATTATTAAATAATAGCTATAATAATATAAAGCTTTATATATACTAAAATATAATATTATCTTATTTATCTCTATCTCTCTTATAATACTATTTTACTTTTAATTTAAGTAATAATAATAATAATAATAATAATAATAATAATAATAATAATAATAATAATAATAATAATAATAATAATAATAATAATAATAATAA